AGAAGAAATGCATCATTCAGAATTTCATATGAGTGTTCTACTTCTCCACATGTTGAATAACATGATATGGAAGGAGTTGTAGACTCCACTCAAGTACCAAAGAAGAGAACCAGGGGGGGCATCAAAGTTAAAGATACATGACAAAGGAAAACAAAAGTGTGATGAAATGACTTCAATGAAAGGAATTAGCTTGTGGGACCTAAGTTAGTTAAACTATCCACTTTAGAAGGGATCTTGGCATGAGAGATGGTGCCAATAACCACCGAGAGATGGCTTGATATTCCAGAAGAGGTTAAAGATAAGCTATGGACTTGTATGAAGGTAACATATATTTATTTAATTCATTATTATACTATCAACTCAAGTTTTTTTTCCTGATCACTAAATTTTTGTTTAAATGCAAATGCAGCTTAAATTCAAAATACATGATTGCCATAGGAAATACATCAGGCAAAAGTTTGGCAGATTATGGTGCTCACACAAATCTAAACTATCACGAAAAATAAGACCTCTTGGTAAAAGTGCTAAGCTAGTACACAATATTGTCCTCACCAAACCTGATAATGTAGAAATGGTTGAATGGAAAGCATTTATGAAACAACGAACTTCCAAAGAATTTAAGGTAAGTTTCCTCATAGAAACTCTCTAGTTTTTATGAACTAATTAGACCACCAAATTTTCTCATAGTGATTCAATTATGAATTATTAATCATATAAATTATGACATTCTTCTTTTGTATATGTAGGAAAAGAGTAAAAGAATTAGAGCCATGAGGAAAAAAACAAACCATTTTACACACCATGAGTCGTAAAGGTTGCACGATTAGAGGATGAAATAGTAGATTTAAGAGTGATTCAAGTAGTTTTGTAAATTGGGTATGAAGTATGGTTACTATGAGATTGTTTTTAATCATGTTGATTTTCATTTGCTATTTTATTTTCTAGAGAAGAGAAAGTCGAGCACCATCATCCATATCAAGAGTTGATGTTTGGATTAAAGGGCATATGAGGAAGGAAGGAAAATCCATGAATGGAGTGCTTGATGCAACTGTGGTACCAATATTACTTCATTTTTTTTTTTTTGGGGGGGGGGGGGATTCACATCAATTTATATTGTATTATAATTTGTATTCACATCAATTTATTAAGACATGCTTTATATTTTCGGGAAAAGGTTCAAGAACTTCATAAGGGTCCAAAATCTATAAAAGATGATGCGATTTTTCATACTTTTGGTCCCGAGCATCGTGGGAGTTTACGAGGGCTAGGATTTGGGGCATTACAATCTAAGGTTGATGCACAAGTACACCAAAATGAGCACGTGAGAAAACTTGAAAGCAAGGTGCTGGACTTAGAACAACAACTCGGTGAGATAATCACATTTATGGCCGTTTTGTTTAATACAAATTTCGCCATCACATTTGAAAAATTACATTTCCCTCCCTGATGTTTGTAATATCTTTACAAATTGCCCCTTGAATTGCTAATGTCATGCCCTAAAATTCTATAAATGACCATCTTTCCATTTTTCTTACCATTTCTTCTACCTATCATTATGACTACATTTTACAACTTTTCATCATTAAATTTTACATAAACATATTTTTATTGAGTGGTGATATACAAATATAAATTTTATATAGAATTTTCAAACACAATGATACAGTTTACTGGTGACCTTTCACTTTAAAACAAAACACTCATAAGCATGATTTATATCTACAATAATATCAGTATCGGTGGTGCTATATACACCAATTAGTGTGCACATTAGTGTATTAACTAATGTTATGCCATTATTATTGACCCCATTTATTATACAAATTACAAATACCCAAAACTTCTAAAATTGTGCCACATCATCTGTTGATACACTAGTTAATACATTAATTGGTACATATAGCATTATTCTATCACTATTACAACATTTTTATGATATTTTTTGTATAAATTTTTATATATGAATATAATTTTTCATTTTTGGCCTTGTTTGTCATCACTTTAAAAAGTCAAAAAGTCAAAAAGTCACTATCATATTTGAGTCACATCATCTTATTTAAGTCACATCATCTCTCTACCACATCACTTCAAACTCAATCCATATTTCATAAAAAGTCAAAAAATACACTTATTTAGAACATCCCAAACAACTCCTTGATTTCTACCACTATATCTAGATTAGATCAATTTAATCTAGATGTATTTGAAAAGTATAAAATTTGTACCATATTTTTTTAAAAAAATCATTAAATACGACAAAATAAGATAATGTATTGAATTTTTGTATTTTTATATTTTTTTTGTATTTGGTGAATTTTTTTTAAAAAAATCACAAAATATTATACGTCTTAAGCATATCTAAATTAGATGTATCTAAAAAATAAAAAAATAAAATTGCTTAAAATATTAAAAAAAATTCAGTAAAAACAAAAAAAAATATATGAAAAATTAAAATTAAAAAAACTCATTTTTTGCGTGAGTTAAACCAAATAAAATGACTGTTATTTCTTTTGAAATGACATGAACAAAATATATGCATTATTTTATTATTTTATATTTATAAAGGTTAATGGGAAAATATGTAATTTTAATCTAACAAGGGATTAGTGTAATTTTTCAAATGTGAGGAGGGGATCTGTATAAAACAGAAACCTCAGGGGTGTCAGTGTAATTTACCCTAAAAAAATAGAGTCAAGAAATTACATTTATATTTTAAGAAAATTATGAAAAATAAATAATAATTTCATATATATTTAATAAGGTAAATTAAATTACATTTATATTTTTTTCTTTAGAAACTGTTTTATTTCGTTGTGGGTAGAGTCTGATTTCTCAATCTTGTCAATAAAATTATATGAATATTAGATATACGAAAGAAGTAAAATTAGATAATTTAAATAATAATTGAACAAAATAAAGGTCAGTAATTAAAAAATAAAATAAAAATTTAACCTTTATTGAAGGTGAGAAATTAATTTTAAGATTTAATTTAATAAAAATAGCTTAAATGAGAAAAATAAAGATGGAGAAATATATTTGAAGTATCATACAACAAATTAATTGAGTATTTTAGTATTCTCAAATATTTTATCCATTCAAGTAAAGATTAATTTTTATTTTAGGTGTAAAAAATGAAAAATTATTTGATTTGTTTATTATTCTCAAATGATTTCTTAATCTTTCATTCCTTATTAACTAATTTTAATTTATTGTGAAGCGATTATATTTTTTTACCTCTATATTTATTTTTTAATTTTTTTAATCATGTAAGAATAACTTGCGTTTTTTTAAATATGCATCAATTAGAAATTTAATAACTCAAAGATAAAAATTAAAATTTGTTAATAATATCTTAACAATTTAGGGATAAATAATTTTCTTACATATTAATAAATAAGTAGAACAAATTGTTGGGAAAAAAAAATCCATTTGTTTCAATTTAAAAAAAGAAAAGAAAAAAGAAATTTAAATAATAAATGCATTAATTAAAATTGATAAAGTCTTCATTGTTTATATAGTATGAAATAAGTCTTATAAGTATTGTATTAATTATTAGGGTCTTATATTAAACTATTAGGGTGTTATGTTAAAATATGCATAGGTCTTTAATAATATATATGCAAAACCTCAGGGGAGGTGAGTGAAAATTTTCATTCAAATAGTTTATTGGTTGATCTAGTAATTTTCATCTCTTCCCGCTCAATTCAAAAGGGTGATATGGTCATTTTGGACAACCAATTAATGTCGTTTGTACTCAATTAACAGAGTGAGGGAATCTTGATATTATCAACAAAAATAAAGAAGGTTTCTATAATTATTAAAACTATAGGAGAAGTTCCTATATTTATCAGAAATCTCAAGAAAAGTAAGTATAATTTACCCTAAAAATTAAAAATCAGTTCACGTGATAAAAAATAATTACAATTTTTCTATGTAAAAAACACTAAAAATTGTACCTCAAGCTCCTTACCTTTAATAAATGATTGCTCCACTCTTTCACTAGAGAGTAATTTTCCCAATATTATATACTTATATCTCATATATGTGTATATATTGTACTATTATTTCCCATGAAAAGGGCATTTTTTTTTACTTTATTAGTGTTGTTTTAGTTGATGATGCTTTAAGGAGTTTGGAATGAGTTTTTAGTTTTTAGTTTTTTTTTTTTTGGGTCTTCGATGAATTTAAAAAAAAAAAATCAAAATTTTTTATATTTTTGAGTTCTACTCGACTCGATAGAAAAATAAAATAAAAATAAAAAAATAAGGAAAAAAGTTCGTTGAAACTTTTTTTTTTAATTTTTTTTACATTTTAGATCATTTTACACTGGAGGGATAGGAAAATTCAAAAAAAAAAATGACATCAATTCGAAAAAAGCACTTAAAAACAAAAAAAGTTCAAAAAAAAAAATATCTTAATTGGATACCAAATTCATAAATCTGGTCTTAGATTTGTACCTTCTTTTGATGTACTGTTCTCTCTTGTATTTTTTGATTTCTTGAAATAAAATGATATTCACATATTTTTTTAGGCATTGAATTTTTTATGTTAAATAAAATAATATTCATATATATTTTTTAGCCATTGAATTTTCAAGCCCGATAGACTTATCTCAAGACCTATCTCAATTATCTAAACCGTTTATTTTGTAAAATTCATTACACAAATCATTCATTAAAAGAAAAATTAACGATAACTAATTATCGAATCACATATATTTTTATAAAATAAAAAACAAAAATAATTTTGAAATAAATCATCTATATTCTTTAAAAAAATTGTGAACCAATCATTTGATTATTAATTTTCAATCAATTTAATTTTTTTCATAAACTCTACAAAAAATATTCAATTCTTTTTTTAATTATATTTTGCTTACTTAACTCATGAATAAAATATTAATGGAATGAGTGTCACCACTTATACTTGTCATCATCGCAATGTTTATGTCACAATTTACAGTGATTAATAAAAAGCTTGATCACATGCACACGAGTTTTCGACATCCTTCCTTTACATGTCAATTTCTAAGGGACTGATAACAAAAATACTCATACTTGTTACCAGAGTAAAGTTTATCCCCCGTCAATAATTGTTTTTGACAACCTCTCTTTACAAGTCAATTTTTAAGGGACCGATAAAAAAATAAAAAATAAAAGCCAATTTCCAAGGTTTCTACTCAAGTAATTTGAATCATTTGATATCTTGAGTATGAGATCAGACAGATACAAAGCCCCAAGAAGAGGCCCACCGTGGATGCCTACTATGTAGATTCATAGTAAACTTGATTTTTGTGAGGTCCACGAATTAACAATTCAGTCCCACTTCCTCAAACCAGATAACAAGCATATGAGTTTTGGGAAAGGTAAAAGGTCAGACATTTTCATTTTCCTCCTGCATTCAATCACACTGTGAATTGATTAAATAAAAAAAAATTTAAAAAGAGCTACACAAAGTAAATTTGCAAATGGGTTCCATAATGCTTTCCACAACACTCTACAATGAAACATAATAATGAGGAACAAAGTAGTATTCACTAAACCAGAGCTGTAATGTAGTTCACTGAATTTGAAAACTAAACTTGCAGTGGACCTTTATATGTCACTATTCTCTCAGTTTGGAAAGTGAAAGGATTGCGCAACTCAAGCCTTGTAATCAAGAGTAGGAAACCTACCAGAGTAGCCAACTAGATTTATGGATATATACATATTCTTTTTTACAAATTACAGAAAAACCAATTATTTTCTAATAAAGCAACATATAATTCATAGAAAATAGAAGACCCCTTACTAGTGAAAGGATGCAAAAGGATAAGGGACACGGCCGGTCTGAATAGGAGTCAAGAACAAATATCATCACAGGACTAAATTACCTTAGGATTTCACATATATTATTTCTGCCCTTGGTGATGCCCGTCTAAATCGCATCAGCTCTGTTGAGATTCTAAACCCCTCATGTGCATCAACTATTTGATGGTATTGAACATGCATCGTCTCAAGAAATGGAGAACAAGTGAGAATGCATTTGATGAAAAGCAATTCGGCCCTCAAACCCGTGATGGAAGTTATCTTTACAGTTCGAAGTTGGTTCAACATCTGGTACATGAAGCCTGGTGCTTCCAAATAACTTGGATCCGGTTCCACGGCATTGTCCCTGACTGCAGAGGCCTGTAATGATAATTGCAAAGAAACCCGTTTAAATTTTAACATTAAAAATAGATGAATAATCTTATCTTGTTTGTTTCAACAATCTCACTGTCATCCGGAGTTTCTTCAAGTTAGGAGAACTTCTGAGCAAACAAAGGACACATGACATCTGATCCAGATTATCAAATCTTATTTTAGTAAACACAAGATGCTTCAGTTGGTTAAAAGGAATAGAGAGCACCCATGGAACAGGACCTGCAGCCAAAAGCTTTGAAGCAAACGGCAAGAAAATAAGACACGACCTACAAATTTCCATACGATGTACCAAATAAAAAAATTGATAACATATACTCACCTTAAGGAAGAATCCATCAAAACAAATCTTCAAAATTCTAGGCAAATTATCAAGAAACTTGTTCAAATTGATTGTACTTCCTTGCCCAGGGTTTTCAGCTTTCTTTCCCAATACAATAGAGATCATGGTCAAGTTTGGAGTACTCTGGAAAGAGATTGATTTAACATCGCGACTGTCAGCGGCAAAGAAGGTTTTGAGTTTTGGGGAGTGGATATTAAAATGTTCAATGCCAGTGCAGCCTGAAAAGTTCAACGTCTCAAGCAATGGCACACTAGGGACAAGAGCTCCAAAAATATTGGCAGAAAATGCCATTTTCTCGAAGTGAAGGCTAATTAGGTTACGAAACCCACCAAACACCTCTGGTGGTTTAAATACACAGTTACGGAGCTTCAAATGTGCCAATTCTGGACAAGAGAAAACATAAGAAGGCAGCTTATAGGATTTAACATTCCGATTATCCAAGATGAGTTCCTTGATACCATTCCGTGAAAGGAACAATAGCCACTGAGTGACATGTAGGTCCCAATCACAATGTATGTTTGGAATGTAGAGAGAAAATTTCAGAATGGGGCCACTGTGAAGTAACAGTATATTACTGATTATGCTCACAAACGTATATGCGTACAGTGGGTTGTTGCGAATGATATCTGCAAAGAAGCGCTTATCAAGCACAAGATGTGGGAGTGAAGACCAAATATACCTCCAGTTTCTTGACAAGATACTCGTCCTTGCTGCATCTCGAACAGGCATGCGCTCTAGAATGTTGTCTATTAAGTTTCTTGGCAGGCCACTAACTATATCATCTGTGCCATTATCTATTGCTATCCTTTTATGACTGTCTGTCATTACTGCCTGATATTCAATAACATGGTCACCCATTAATTTTCTTTGAATTTGTTCTAAAACTATATCAATTCAGATATGGTGATGAAAAAATAAGGAAAACAAGAGTAAATGCAAGCTAATTTTACTTCTCTTTTCTTTTTCTTTCTTCTTTCCATATAATTATGCCGATTAAGATATGGTGATGAAAGAGAGCATTACTTTAAATACGAGAAAAAATATAGAGTTTTTATATAAAATAAGATGGTTGGTTTGGATTCTATGACCTGAAAACTAAAGACACATTGGTTGTAGTTTAAAAAATATAAATCATTCCAGGTCAAAATTCTGCATACTTGAAACTTTTCAATCCCTGATGTTATGCTTGGATCTTGGATTTGTGGTGGGGGAAAGCAAGGGAAAAGATTAGAAAATAAAATAAGTGAAAGAAGCTAACTTTTCTTTTTCTTTTTTTCTTCCGTTGGTTTAGGAAAATTAGAAGCAAATGAATAGGTATTCGTAATAAACTTTTTTTTTTTAATAAACTTTTTTTTTTTTTTTTTTGGGTTACCATAAAAAAATGAACATGCATAAACATCACCAACCCTTCATCAATTTTTTCATCTAATAAATTTGAGCAGTAAGCTCGATTTGGTATGAACTACTCCAACCCTTTCTTCAAATTTTCATCAAAACCTTTTTAAAAATTCCCCTCTTATCCCAAATTTCTCTTTTTATCAAATTTGATGAGAAAAAAAGAATTCCCCCAATGCTTCATTTGATGAATCTATTGGAGATGGGTTTTTGAGCACTTTTTCATGAAATATAAATTTGATGGAAAAAAAAAGGTGAAAGGATTGGAGATGCTCTAAGTAATTGCATTTTCCTAGCCATTAGGCAAATCCAAGATCCAAACATAGCACATCCAATTTATAAAGGGTTTTAGAAATTGGAAGTTTATGCAGACCATATTTGATTACAAAAAATGAAACAACATGCAAATTGACTTCAATCAACACCTATTCCTCTTAAAAACTGAGCATAACTATGAACAAATGAAAACACACACAAACTAACAAAATTTGATAAGATACAGAAATTGAGTCGGTTGAGCAAAGCTAGACAAAGTACAGAAAATCAAATCCAATTATAAAAAATTATGAAGAACCATAAAGAACGACTCTTTCATGATTACGTGATCAAACCATAAAGAAGTTGAAAGATAGATGAATTGGAAAGAAAACCATGATTAAATTGACGAAAATCGAAGGCTACATGCTAAAATCGACATTTAAAAAATGAAAATGAGGTCAAATTTACCTGTAATTTTGTTCAATTCACACTTTTCCAGTGTTCACTGTAGAAACCCTAGAAAATTTGGTACATCGCTTGAATAATCTCTCGTCTTGACTGGCAAAATACATAGATTAGACTCGGGATTGGGTTTAGTTCGGGGATCTATTGAAAAAGAGTATCTATATATAAAAATAAAAATAAAAATAAAAATAAAAAATTAAATTAGTTGAATATCACTAATTATATAATTATATTATATTTATTTTAAATATAAAATAAATAATTTATTCTGAAAATCATATTTATCGCATATTTACCGTTTAATTTTATTTAAACATATGTAATATGAATATGTTATACTAATATCTAATAAATTTAATTTTTTATATGAATTTTATTCTTGGCAGATGTTACAAAATGCAAGGTTGGATTGGTTAGTTTTGAAATGGAACCATCCAACCCCATAAATACTTAATTCTTTATAATTTGCAGAGCTTTAATAGTTTATGACTTATGAATTAAAATGTATGGTCATATGTTCCATCTAAATTAATAAGAAGTGTACTTTTGAATGATTATTAGGTTTTGTGAATGAAACTGTTTGTAAATTTTTCAGCAAGAATTATCACATGACAATTTTTTAAATTATTAACGTCACGTGACGATGGAAGATGAGGAGTTAACAATTTTTTAGGACTCATTCCTCAAGTCAAGTGAGTCTTTGGATTAATTAATTAATTAATTTAGATTTAATGGATAAGGTAAGCCTTAATCATTCCTAAAAATTACAAGATTGTTGAGGTTTATCTCTTAAATTGGTACTTTATCTCTTAGTTTGTTACTAAGCCTCCGTTTGGGAAGTGGGTTGGTTTTTTGGCTTTTTTGGCTATTTTAACCTGGGCTTAAAAGCTTGGTTTGGGAAGGACTTTTTGACTTTTTGACTTTTTTGAATTTTTTTGTGAGAGAATAATGTAATGATTATGGATTGGATGTGATGTTTTGTTTGTTATGGCTAAAATAGCATATTTTGTTTTTTGTGACTAAAATAACCAAAAAACTCTGCAAACCCACTTGCCAAACACAGGCTAAGTGACTGCTATGGATAAAAACTACATGGGATTTGAAGATTTGGCAAATCAACAATAAGGCTATAAGGTCATGTTTGATTCACAAAATTAATAGTGAAGTATTAATAATCCTATTAAATTAGTGTAGTATTTACTATCCAATTGGATTAATATCCATTGGATTAATAATCCCACCCCTATCCCATTACTAATAATCCTACAAATTTGTAGGATTAATTATCCATTGGATTAATAATCCTAAACCAAAATGTTAAAACAAACATAGGATAATTGAGCCCACGGATTAATAATCCTAATCCCATACTCTAATCCACCCAATCAAACATGCCATAAAAGTATACCAGTTTTCCTAACTCGAGGCAAGTGGAGTTTTTATGAGACATGTGTCAACTTGGAAGGAAATCGAATTCGGCTTGGAGATTTCCTTAAACATGCGCCATGCATCTTCTATCCATGAATCTTGACAGAGTGCGATAACTATAGCAGTCCAACTGACGACGTTTTTACACGGCATCATTATAAAGAGTTTCAGTGCAATGCGTGTCTTTCTTTCTATGGTGTAACCCATGATCATTGAGTTACGAGAGAAAGGACTCTTATTAGGCATTTTATCAAACAGTTCCCTTGCATCCCCAATCCTATTGTTTTCAATGTAACCTTTGATCATAACATTCCAAGAAACAGAGTCTCTATGACCCATTTGATCAAACGCCTTTCTTGCATGATCTACTTCTCCCTTTAGTGAGTAATCTAATATTGTTTTTGTCAGTGTCACCATATCTTCATTTTTTGCAGAGTTTTTACTGTATGCATTTCAGGTGCAGAAGAGTTTGGTGGTGGTGTAAACAGATTTGATCTAGTTTGTGCTTGGATCTGGTTTCATTCTTGGAGCACATAAGATAATCATCACCAAAGAAACCCCACATGCTTAACATAGAGATGCCAATTGATGGAGGAATCGTCTTTCTCGGACTCGGATGTGTAGGTGAGAAGAACCCAGATGTGTTCGCCATTTATAGAGCAAGAAATGAATAACCCAGAAAGAGAAAGTGAACAAACAAACAAACAATCTATCTAATATCTGAAACCTTATTTTTGGTGAAAATACCAGAAGAATTATATTTTATTAATAAATAATACAAAGAAAATGAGATACAATTAGATAAGGCTGAAATACGGATATCTCGTTTTCTTTAAGGAGATCAAACTCACTGTGATAGGAAGAACCCAAATACCGATGCAGCAGTCACAAAACTATGACTTGTCCCCTGCAGGATACAACAGCCCGACCACTTGTTGTATGGTTCAGGCCAACTCTGCACAAGATTGTGCATCCAAAGCTCCACCAAGAAAGACACCCTTCTTTGCTAGTAATCTCTCTTGTATATAAAATAATTGGTGTGTTGGTGTAGAAAAAAGTAGATAAGAAAAACTATTTATAGGCCATTAGGACTTTAAAAAATACACCAAAAAATAATAATGACTATGAACCTAGAGAAAATGGAGAGTGTATCCAATTATTAACTCACCACCAAGTTCATGAACACCAATTAATCTCCATTCATGAACAAGACAAAAGGTCACCAAAATAATGAATATCCATTCATGAATAAAATGAGATTCATGAATAAGACAAAAGAAGATTCATGAACAAAAATATATAAATAAATAAATAAAAGATATTAAAATGGTCCAACAATCCCCCACTCATTTTAATATCAACAAGGACAAGAGAAATTACCAAACAAAAATAGACTAGTATGCATCATGAAGGTGTGCTTTGCATTAAACATTCGTTAGTAAAACAACAACCTCTATTCCAGAGTTAGTAGTAGTCTCAGACTTAAACTATGACTACTTAGGGGAAATAAAGTATTACTACTTACACATAATAATCCAGGTGTTGACATGAGCTTTTAATAGCTAGCACATTACGGCCTTGTGCTTATCCCAATTTTCATGAACATATTTGAGAATAAGCCTTGTTCTCATAGAAAGCGGCCTCATTTTCATACTCACATAGGTGAAATCTGTCAATGATGTTCCTATAATTGGCACACCCCACTTAACAAGAGCTACAGAATTTCATTAAGAGTATAAAAACTCAACTCTCCAACAGTACAGGACAAATGCACTTACATCATAAGGATGGATAACAAAATATTAAGGAGTGCATTTTTTACAACCACCATATGATTCGCTTTTTCCATTGAACATAATTACAAGATCTCTGGTCTCCATGTTGGGTATCCTCATACATGGTTTATGATTTTATAGGCTTCAAACCCTCTCGATGTATTCCAAACCCTATCTCTCGCCAAAGCTTTGGTTAACGGAGCCATAAGATTATCACAAGATCTTACATAATTTACAGATATGATGCCATTACTCAAATAGGATCTCACATTACTGTGTTTCCTTCGAATAGGTCTAGATTTACCATTATAAAAATGATTGTTCACTCTACCAATAGCAACAGTGCTATCACAACGAATTAACACAGGAGGAATTAGTTTTTTTCAAAAAAGGGATTTCATGTAACAAATCTCTCAACCAATTCGCTTCCTCACATGCTGAAGCTAACGCTATAAGCTCAGCTTCCATAGTAGAATTAACAATTATAGTTTGTTTTTTAGACTTCCAACATATAGCAAAACCACCCAAGGTAAAAATAAAACCCGAGGTAGAGAGAGAATCACCTGACAAAGTGTTCCAATCGGCATCACTATATCCTTCAAGTACCACAGGATACTTGTTATAAAACAAACCATAATTTTTAGTACCAGATAAATATCTCATAATTCTTCCCATAGCTAGCCAACAATCTCGACTTGGCTTGCTAGTAAACCTGTTAAATACTCCAACACCATATGCAATGTCAAGTCTAGTACAGTCAGTAGCATATCTCAAACTACCAATCATGCTAGCATATTCCTTTTGATTAATCACTTATTTTTCATTTGTTACAACAGATATGTATGCTTGCATCAAAAGGAGTAGCAACATGTTTACAGTCTAGAAAGTTATATTTCTTTAAAATTTTCTCAACATAATGCTATCGATCAAGAAAAATGTCATCCTTAGCTTTGGTAATTTTAATTCTCAAAATAAAATTGGTTTCACTAAGATCTTTCATATCAAAGTGGCTATTAAGCATATTTTTAGTCTCATTTATAATATGCAAATTAGAGCCAAAGATAAATAGATCATCCATATATAGGCTGATAATCACATGTGCATTCTCATAAGTTTTATAATATATGCACTTATCGCATTCATTAGTCTTATAGCCATTCTTAAGCATGCATGAATCAAATTTCTCATGCCACTATTTAGGAGCTTGTTTTAAACCATAAATGGGATTTAGTTAGCTTACACACCTTGCTTTCTTGGCCAGGCTCCACAAAGCCTTCGGGTTGGTCCATTTAAATCTCCTCATCTAGATCTCTATTTAAAAATGCTATTTTCACATCCATTTGATGAATTTTTAAATCATGAATTGCAGTCACTGTTATCAACAGTCTAATGGATGTAACTCTAGTAACCGGAGAAAAAGTATCAAAAAAAAATAAAGATCAACTTGTTACTTAAAACCTTTAGCGACAAGCCTCACTTCATATTTATCTATAGTTCCATCCGGTTTAAGTTTTTTACGAATGACCCATTTACACCCAATAGTTTTACAACCTGGATGTAAATCCACTAGCTTCCATGTTTTATTTGAAAGTAGTGAATCTATCTCATCATTTACAGCCTCTCTCCGGAAAATGGTATGAGGTGAAGATAAAGCTTTTTGCATTGTAAGAGGAATTTCTTCCACATTGTAGAGATAATAGGCAGGGCCAAAATCTTTTTCAACTCTAACTCGTTTACTTCTTCTTGGTTGAATTTGAGAATTTTTTTGATCTTTAAAAACTTGAGATGGCGTAGAAAAGCTAGGCACGGATAAAATATTTTCAGAAATTATTTAACCCCCATTATTTCTAGATTTGAAAGGAAATTTATTTTCATGAAAAATAACATCACCTGATTCAAAAAAAAATATTATTTTTCATATCAAAAAGTCTA